GACTGCATTTTATATGAAACAATAGCTAACATCAAGAGAAACGGTACATATAAATTGCATCAATATGAATTTTAATGACATATATCTATTCAGTATTCTCTCGAATATAATCGTTGCATGAAAAGCAAAAGTGTCTTCTTCATTTGAGCGAACATATTAGGAAGAATCTTTTTAATACATATAATAGATAATATTTTCAAAAAAACATGTTCTTGCATTTTCTTCATTGTCGATACATGTCGTAGGTACTATTAATACTACATCAAGTAGTCAGTAAAAGTGTATGACATTTTAGTATTTTAGTAAGTATATTGTGATTGAAAAGCAGATAATTCCCAAAAATATTGTTTTTTTTTTAATGCAGAATAGAACGGACTACAGTTTAATATAAACATATTGAAAATTTATTAGCTATTATAATTTAATATTATTCATTAATAGTTACTAACTGGAGAAATGCTTTCTTATAAACTTTGATCTTCAAGTATCCTGCCAGAAAAAACATTGAAAACTCAATAATACTACGTAGTTTTCGTTTTGCAATAACTATTCATACCGGAGTTTCTATAAACACTAATTAAAACATCATTGATAAGCCAGTCATAATTCAAAAAAAACAAACAGCTCTAAAAATAGAATTCAAGACTCAAAAAAAATAGCATTTTATAGAATAGACTTTGTTTTATCACATGATGTCTTGCAATCTTACATGCAATTTGTTTATAATTAGATATATAGCACTCAAAACTGATCAAGATATCGATCTAGCTAAAAATAACTGGAACGATTTGCTGTAAAACATCTTGATTGCTATAGTGTCAATGTTGAGCATTTCAAAAAAACCTATTTCTTCTATCAATTTTATCAATTTTTACTATTGTTTAAAGTTATGCTTTTCATATTTTTGAATCATAGCGTGGTATATACTCATATCAGTAATACAGAGACTTTGGAATGATTGAAAAGTAGCTGTTGAGTTGTTTACTTTAATTGCATTTTCTATATCTATACTAACTCTTCCAAACATTCATGTTATCTAGCATATACTCTATTCTTCACTATTTTGGCCAACATTCTATATCTATTTCTATATTTGTTCTCTTTGATCTTACTACGATGAAATTACCACTGTATAAATGCTTTAGCTTTTTTGTCAACAGTATTCTTTAGTTCTAGTGTGAACAATTCTTTATCACCATTTTGAAAGTTTTTACTCGTTTCAACATAGTTGTTACATGGTCATGCATGCAATTAGCAAATATCATGAGTTTTTTCGTTTACTAATAACGATTCATCTTCTCGTTATGTGGCTTTATTGGTCTCAAATGTATTATTGTAGTGCTAGCGCTAGAATGAAACACAGTGGTTCCTGGAATTTTGAAGATGCCTTTCTACCTCTGCACTCAACGCCAGACTCCTTGGGAGTGTATGAGTGCTCTCCAGTAGAATGAATAAGGTACAGAAAAGTCATAGATTCCAAAAGAACGCTCATAGTCTAAATAAACAAATGAATCGAAAGTACGAATGCCAAGAGAAATGGCGAAGTTCAGAAAGAAATACGAAAATCCGCAAATCTACGAATTGTGTCTATCAAACTGATGGTTCTCAATGGCAGCATCGAAAGTAACCTTGAATGGCACAATAATAAGTACGAAGGCCGATAACTTATTTATTCTTATTGTATGAGTTTGGTTAAGCAAAACAAAAAAAATTCTATCCAGCAAGTCAGACAAAGATTTTAAAAAACTGTTTCAGACAGACACATACACATACAGATTGGCAAAATGATGAAGTTTCCGTTTCTGGATCATTATCTTTCAGTCTATGGCAAAACAGTAGATAATGTTTGTTGGCATATATACTTAGAAAACTGAACTTCTCTCTAATGGTCGTCTCAGAGACATCTAGTAGAAAGACAGAATAGATCAAGGGAGAAGTACTGATTGCAAACAGGGCAACTGTTCACAATCGTGGATTAATATTAATAATGTCTGTCAATATTTGTATTTGATAATTATTGACAGTTTTTAGCAATCATCGCTGATTAATGAGAATCGTTATCAATCATTAGCAATCAAGAGAATCAGAGGTTATGAAGCTTCTTGGATCTATTTTTTTGTGAAACTCATCGTACTATAATAGTGAGTGTATGTTACAATTCTAACTGGTGACTGATCAACTCCCAGAAAAATATCGCGTCTTAAAAGCAATTTTAATTTATTAGAGACTTTTTTATTCTTGCTCATTTTATCTTCCACAAAAGGATAGATTTTAATGAAAAAATGTATTTATTTTTGTAAAATGTGTATATTACTTTTGTCTTTACTTTTATGAATTTCTCTCTCTTGATTATGTTTTTGGCATTTTTTAACATATTCACAAAGAAATTTTCACTTTTATTTCCAGAATTTCGTTCCAGCTTATGGGTTTTTCTGTTAAAATCTAGAAACGAAGCCAATTCCAAAAACATTGCGGTTTAATTAGAAGTTCTAATCATAGACATTTCGCTAGAGTTGTCTTACAGTTAGATGTTGATATAGATAAAGTAAATGCGTGGTATGAGTAATCAAATTTGTATTTTCTTTTGTTTACCCACTGAGTCATGTACAACAAGGCAATACAGGAATATATCGAGCAAGTACAGATAAATGATGCAAAGATGTCCTTTTGATAGTGGAGTCTATGGCATAATGATTAACAAAAATCTCTTCGTAAGATATTAGTACAGATCAAAACGGCAAATGTTGGTCGATTTTGAACCTATCACTTGCTTTAATAGTCTGGCTTCCTATTTTTTTTTATGCGTGTAGGTATAGATATGAATTTTCTCTTCTTCACCCACCCACTCGCCCTCACGAGGCTCCCTCGTCATTATGAAATGTTTATAGACAGAAGATTTGTGTATTCATTTTATATTGTTTTTTTTGAGCTTTGTGTGGGTCTTCCTCTTAAAGTTTATACAGAGATGCAAAAAAATGCAAATACTTTCAGTTAAAGTTTTCGTAGTTTCAGAGAGAAAGGCTTTCGCATAGCCTAACACCGGGTGCCATTGAAATTCTGTACTTTCAACAAAACGGCTTGTTTCTAGTAACACGAGAAGACGCACATAAGTCAACGAAAGGAGTTTTTATTTAAGTGATCTCGAAATTGATTAGCCAGAGTCAATAAGAAAATTAATTTCATGAAAAGATGTAATTTTAATCAGTGTTTAGAAAATTGAATGGAAAGTCTTCGTAGCAAAAGACCAAGTCTGAATGATACATGTATATGAAATAGTTAAAAGATACTGAGAATTCTATTCTTTATGTGCTACCCGTTATCATGCCAATATTTGCATACATATTTTTTTATTCTCCACAGCTACCAGAAATGTTAATTCAATATGAAGAGTGAAACTTTAATATGATAGTTGAGTCTTATTTTTTTATTATATATTTTTAAGAGATTCTAACAAAACAAGAATGAAACTGCGATATAACTCTTCTAAATTATCAAACTAAGATAAGAGCATGTTGAGGACTAAACAGAGTCCGGGAGATAAGCACATTTTTGCTGAAATGAATGCGATGACAGAACACTTTAGATAAACTGTTGTTGTAAAAAAAAGCATGCATCATTTTGATAAGAATCGAAGAAGCCCTTTAAAAAAACATCTTCTGGACTATTCATTTTGTCGAACTTTACTTTCATGAGGTAAGTTTTTCTAGTGTAGAGAACAAATCACGTTTCTTAATATGAGATAGCTTGTTAGAGCAAACGAGTTTACTATCGATGCTCCAGAAATATTTGGCACAGTTTCTAGTTTCATATGTCTGAATATAGATGCCTGTACTATTCGTGATGCGTAAAAGGAACCATTCTGACGCAGATAATGTGCTACTTTATTTTGAATTGAATCTAAATAGGCCAATGTCAGAATTTATACTTTTAGAGATTTGTGATGACGAATGATAATCAACTATATCAATGGAAAAAATTCAATTTGAACAACTCAACAAAGGATGATAAGGAGAAACTAAATCTAGATTTCGATTCAGATATACACGACAATCAGGCACTTACGTTAAAAATCAAATGTGTGAACAATGCTATTGATGAAATCGGTTTCACTAAGTATCATCTGAAACTTTTCTTTCTCAACGGTTTTGGCTATGCAGTGGATTCTTTGTTGATTCTTCTCAATTCTCTAACACAACCACAAGTTACTCTACAATTTCAGCCATTTGTCACTACTGCACAAACAATTTCCGTCGGAATTGGATTACTTTTTGGAGCTCTATTCTGGGGTCTCGGAGCCGATGTAAGTCATTATGATACACTTTTTTACTGTTATGTTTTTCATTTCTCGACTTGAAATATAACTCTGATATTTTAGATTATCGGTCGTCGATATGCATTCAATATTACTTTACTTTTGTGTGCAATCTTTGCCATTGCTACTGGAGCGGCTCCTAACTTCGTTTCCGTCTGTATTCTGATCGCATTTATGGCATTCGGAGGAGGTGGTAATTTGATTTTAGATACGGCAGTCTACTTAGAATTTCTGCCTGGTAAGTATCAATGGTCTCTAACATTTATGGCAGCTTGGTGGGGCATTGGTCAAATGGTGGCAAGTCTAGTGGCATGGCCTTTCATGGCCTATTATTCGTGTCAGAACAAAGATAATTGTACGAATGCCAACAATTCTGGATGGCGTTATACGTTCTACACACTGGGAGGATTTGTTGTCGTTTTATCTATTCTTCGCATCGTTGTCATACGCCTGAAGGAATCTCCTAAATGGCTACTCTCTCAAAACAAGGATGCTGAGGTAGTGCAGATTATTCATGATATAGCTAGAGATGCAGGAAAACAGAGTTCATTGACTTTGCAACAACTCGAATCATTCGGACCAGTACGTACTGCCAGTGACATCAAACAGTATCATCCAATGATAATCATTCATCATATTCGAGGTAAATATCGTCACAGATTGAAACAGTTTTCTATCAAATTCTATCATGACAGGTCTTTTCCAAAATCGACGAATGGGTCTCTCAACTTTTCTTAATATTGCTTCATGGGCTTTGATCGGTCTGGCTTATCCACTCTACAATGTTTTTTTGCCCTACTATCTGCGTTCGCGTGGAGCTATTGTAGGTGATGGTTCTACTTATACAACATACCGCAACTATGCCATCACAAATACGTGTACCATATTTGGCCCTGTGGTCGCGGGAGGTTTAGTGGAAATTAGTTATCTTGGTCGACGATACACTATGGTTATTGGTGCTCTACTCACCATGACATTTCTTTTCGCGTACACGACGGTTCGTACTGCTGCTCAGAATTTGGCCTTCGCCTGTATGATCAGTTTCTGTTTGAACATCTATTATGGTACCCTATATGCCTATACACCAGAAGTGCTCCCATCAGAACATCGAGGCACGGGTAATGCTATCACTGTGGCATGTAACCGAATCATGGGCATTGTCGCTGCAATTGTGGGCATGTATGCCAATTTGAATTCGAATGTACCCATTTATGTATGTGCAGCTGCATTCGGTGGCCTGGCATTTATTAGTTTCTTATTTCCATTTGAGCCACGTGGAAGAACGAGTGGCTAAGTATTGCCAATAATAACAATACAATTAATATATTGAGTGTGAATGCGGGTGACGGAATAAATAGATGTGAATCCCTACCCATACTCCAAGCTCTCATTTTCAAAAAAAAACGTGTAGACTGAATACACACTAAAAACAAAATAAATATTGATAAAGAATAACATCAATCAATGCGTGACTTTCATATGAAATGACTACAATTAGCGATCTTTTTTTTAATCTTTCATTTCTCTCTCTCTGTTTATTATTTGAGAAATGAGTGTTGATATACAAATATGAACAAAAGGACAACAATAGAAAAGATTACCAAGGTAAGTCAAGGCCAAAGGAAACGAAATACTAGACAGAAATAATGATATCAAAGTATATCCTATAAGAATACATTGTAACAATCTTAAACAGAATTATAAATGTTCTTGTAACATATTAATCAACAAAATGCAAAGAAGGAATTTTTCATATTGCCAATTGATAAAGTAAATATGATTGAACAATGTTATAGAACACTTTCAGTTTTAAAGAAGTCGCATGTATAACATAATAGTTGTTTACAATGCGAGTTTTGATTATGTCTAAAACTTATTAATCATGCATACTTAGAATACGACTAAGACCAGAGAGTGCGAGTCTTCTTTTCAATTATAATCACACACGAAACCATCCATCGTCTGAGAAATCATCTTCTGGAATTAATAATTCCTGTGGATGATATAAAAAAATTACCACCATTCTTCTGGCGGCTTTGTGCGTGCTTAAACGCAATACAGGTTATGAAGTAAGATGATTCTTATTATGGTCAGATATAAAAAAATTGCATTAGATGCCTTTTATTTGCTACTTTTACAGTACCAGAATATTGCTTGAGTTTGCGAGTTACATAGACAGCTAAAGATTTGGTTCTGAGTGATTTCATAAAAAGGTTTTGGAAAAACCGTATTGACTTAAAAGTTTTAGTCAAAATCAGAGTAATAGTGAGTTGAAATGAAGTGTGAATACAAGAAATTTTCTATAGTGGGTTCAAAAATACCACTTTATTACAAAGATGTGTATGGCATTCTATTTTGGCATACATCATATGCATCCCTATCCTTAGCTAGATATTACGATTGTCGGAATCCGTAGGTGTCTACTATTTTTGGCTACATTTCGGGTAAGTTCTGCTATACGCTCGAAGCTCAATTATATTGTATCTCATTTCTTGCAACTAGATTTCAATCAGTTTAGAATGCGTTGACCACAATTCAGTTAAAACTCGTCGAGAATTTCCCGACAACATAAGGAATTCATCTGAAATCAACAAAACGAAATTCTGAAAACCATCTTTTTTCACAAAAGCCTGGTAGTTCCATGCAAAGATGTCAACAAACATATTTCAGCTTATTTTGAACATATAGACGTGGTTTGAATGTGATTTCAATTATAAAACAAAATTATTTATTCAGTTTTTGAACGTAGTCATACGAGTTACGCTGTTACGATCTCGAATTCTCTGTATGAGCAAGTTTTTGTACGCTGTCCAGTTAACTTCACGTTGCAATTTGTTTTGTAGTTCGTCATCTGTGAGATAAGGTCGAAGCTAAACAAATTAACATGTAAAAAACAGATAAAATTTTTGTGTTAATTACAACAATGGGAACTACGTGCCTCTCGTCGCAAACGATCCATGTGACTTTCCGATGCCCATTTAGTGAAAAAGCTTTTTCGTATTTGAATGCATTCAGCTCCATCGGAAACTAACGTTAGGCTGGTTACCTTTTCTGATTGATCAAAAACAACACTGAATAAACCCTTAACAACGAATAAAGTCATTCTAAATCATGAATCATCTATAGAAAAATGCTTACAAAAACACTTCTTTCACAAAGTTGCTCGATCTCAGTGTAGCATTTGGCGGGCTTAGCGGATGCTGTACGCTAAAATAGATCACATATATGAGTACATACGATGACAATAGTCTTACTCGACGATATGCTCCGAGTGCTTCGATGCCATACTGGGATTTTCGCTTGGTACCTGAAAATTTAGTAAAAAAAAGTGCAACTACTTTAATGAATAGGATCGATTATAACCATACCAAAATGATCGTAAATCACTTCAGTTTTCTTTTTTATTGTCAACTTCGGCGTTACTTGAGTCAATGCTTTAATGACCCGACAACAACCTGCCCGTATGACGTAAATCCATTCATCTTTATTGGAGTCTTTACACATTACTGTTCCCATACTAACGTTGATGAAATTAAAAAAAATTAACTTCAAATATGTACACAATAGACACGATTTAAAAAAGAACTACCGATAGTAGACAACATGGCAAAAGTAGGGATCTTTGGGTGGAATTTTCTCAAAAGGAAAGCCACGAAACTAAATTGAGGAATCATGAAATAAAATGTTTTATTTAAAACGATAGCCTTACTTCAGGTATTTGTCGTAGATATGTTACAAAGTCAGGTTCAGTCTCTTCTTTGTTTGACATAAATATTTTGACAAAATCTTCTTGTTCAATAGCAAGCATCGTCACATCGGTTTGACAAGACACTGTTGCAGTTCGCCTCTTTGAATTTAATAAAGCAATCTCCTACAAATAAAGAAAGAAAAAAAAAGTAATTCTCATATAAGAATTCCATAATTTACGTACCCCGAAGGAACTTCCTTTCTTGAGTACGGCTACCAATCTTGAACTGATTGTATTCGTTACTGGACTCTCCCACAACTTATATACGTCAGCTAGATAATCAATCGAAGAACATCATTTTGTAATCCTAAAAATATTGAATACACTTACTAATTCCATCGATAATCAAATAAAACTTTTCGGCTCGATGACCTTCTCGAAGAATAACACGACCCATTTCGAATTCCTCAAGTCGTCCCACACGTGCTATTGAGTATTGTTGTTGGAGAGGAAATTCTAAATAACAAAAACTTATTTACATAGATGTTTAAGATTTTTCTGAGCCCATTTTATTTCAGTGTATGACTTTTCCAAAAAGAGCATATATATGAATCGATATTGATTAAGGAGAATAGCCACATTTGTCGGACTTCTTACATAGACTTTTGGATAACTTGAGATTGAATCATTCGTCAAGTAATAGATTTACTTGACTAGAAACGAAAATATTTCTCTCAATGTTTTCAAACATACTATCTCTGAAACTTTTATGAATAATTTCGTATAAACTATGTTCAAATTCTGAGCATAGAATAAATTAAAAAGTTTCATCACAAATTCAAATAATTTCTGTGCTTTATCGTCATGAGAACTTCACAATGATTGTCTACTATCGTGAAATGAAAGTCTGTGTGCATAAAAACCTGTAAACGGTCTTATAACTTGACTCAACGTGGTGACAACCATCCGAATATCATCTTCGGATCTTGTTTTTGGATCTGATTTGAGGATTTTACGAATATTTCGCCCAATTGTATCCTAAGAAGAATAAATTGAGATCAAACAAAATAATTATAGAAGTACTTCAGCGGGACGTCGATAGTGTCTCAGATCAAAGAGAATATCCTTATTTTCGAAAACAATTTGTTCGTTGGCGCGACGCAATGCCTCAATGGCATATTTTCGAACGAGTAGACAGACACGAATGGCATGACGAACAAGTCGAATAAATTTTCGCATTTTTTGATAGAACTAGAAATTCATCATAGAATGTAAGAATTATATTTGGCCATTATATACTCACATAACCACGACCAAATGACGGTGAATGTTTCATAAGAACCGGTTTTGCAGTTGACGAATGATAAGATGTTGAAGGAGTCCGACGATGGTGTAACGTAATCGATGTAACACCACGCTGCAACATGGCTGGTTAATGAAGTGACAAAAAGAACGAAAGACTGACACAAAAGAGAAGGTAAAATGACTGTAGATGTGCGTTATATGCTTCTACAATTGTCTGTCAGCATGAAATAAGAAAAGAAATTGATTTCGGTGCGTTCACATGGCTTCTTCGCACAGTCGTCACCTAGTGAAATTCAATTAGATAGAAAAAAATGAAGTACGATTGCAAAAAAAAACATGTTTGTTGTAGTGAAGTAAATGTGTATGCGAATGATCAAACCAACTCATACGAGGCAAAAAGGAGACTATTTCATTCCTAACATATGATTTGTATAGTTTTTGCCATTATTCCTGATTGTCTATTCGTAATAGGATAGTTTCTATTCTCCTTATACATGGTATCTAACAACTCAAAGACATTAGAAATCTACTCGATCATTGTTGGTCATGAACAAACTATAAAATTGATTAAGAGTTTGTTTCTTATGGATCACTTTTGTCATGATGATCAATCGATTGTTGATAAAACCTTTTTGTCCTGTTAATTACACTCATTTGAAAATAACTGAATTGCACATGGTTGATTTTATATGCTTATCAACAACAGACGACATCTATCTACATATAGTAATCAGGATTCGATCGAGATGCTTTTAGTCGTCGTTAATTAATGAATATAAGAATCATTTTCACATCAAATGACGTTTTTTTTCATTACTAGAGCAGTTTTTCTTATTGATTTGTGTATACGCTTCTACTTTGAAATTTTCTTGTGGAACTAACTTATTTCTATCCAAGATATATCATTAACAGAAGTGATCATTCATTACAAACTTGAGAGTTTGAGTAAGGGTGTGTGTTGTGGGTTTGAAGGTGGGTAGTGTGGTTTATGGAAATAGTAACACGCACACACCCACATCCCTATTTTTTATACGTGCCTATTGCTCCAAATGGGACCTTCACAGAAAAAATGCAAAAAATTATAAATTTACCTTCTTCGTGGAAATGACTTCGAAACTATTTTTGAGGGTATGAGTAGATAGGAATGAAGGGAAAATTTGCACCCATACACGACACTCACATCCAGGCACCCATATCCACATGCTGAAGGTTAAAATTTTTAATGAAATGGTACTAGTCTTTAGATAACACAGTAATTAATAGTCATCCTTCCCAGAAATATATAATTTAACAGATATGTATATGAATGAAATCTAACAATTGAAAAAATATACATAATTATTTGAAAACAAAAGAAAAAAACAGTGAATATTCTAGGAAATAACACTTCGGTTCACATTCAGTCAATATGCATATTTCATCGCTCAGAATGTCATAAGATAGTCGACGGAAAGGAGATATGACCAGCGTAATTTGTTAAAATCATGCAGATACCAATCCAATTATCTTTGTATTCTGCAACGAATAAGGCGTCTAGGCACAAATGACTATGATCGAGGGTGTGGATGTGAATGTGAGTGTGAGTGTGCGTGAAAGATGACACAAAGACATCTATACTCACATTCACATTCTACTTGCCGAATCAGTCATATAATTAGCTCACAATCGTTCATCGATCAAAAGTAAGTATATTTTCCATAGCTGGATCCGAGACTCCACAGGTGTTAACCATCTTGAACTTCATGAGGAGCATCAGCTATTTTGCAAGTTTATATCTACTGATCATACATTTTATTCGAATAAGTCAAATGAAAATAAATAAAAGGTAATCAAAAGTGGATATTGTGATTATTGGACGATCTTTATAGTAACATAAAGATGATCTCAAGTTTTTTTATTCTTGTTCATCGATAATGTTGATCTATTTCTGATTAAGTCAACATCTGAAGCTTGCAGTGAATATTTAACAAGAAAATATTTCATCTCTAGCTGAATAAATACTTTCATTTTGATTAAACAGAAAGTTGAAGCAGAACACTATATATTATATTATCATTGGTTTTTGAAAGATTATCATCTACTATTAAAGTCATATCTAGAAATCTTGATGTTTGTATATTATTCTGAAAGAAAAAAGATCTCAGATAATAAATAAGTTTATTTAAGATGTGACTCGATTAAAATAAAAATAAAAAGTGTATGCGAGTTAAAGATACGTATACTAATATTCTGATAAATCCAAATTAAAATTAAAAAAAGGAAAAGAAATGTTCTTATACTACCAGTAAAATCATTCCTTATTGTCAGTTTTTGTCTCTTCTTTATTTGTTGCTGATGCAGATCGTTCATCTTTCCAAACGTATGTACCTCGAAAAACATAACCGTGTTTTGTTGCAACATCAAATGCTTGTCGTATTCCAACACTACCAAATTTATATGGAATAACTGGTAGTTTTTTCTTGTCAATTTCAGCAAGTATGGGATCCAGAATACGCCATGCTTCTTGTAATTCATCTGAACGTACAAAATTTATTTTTGAGCCCATAAATACATCAAGAATTAAACGTTCATATGCATCAGGTAATTGGACATCTTCATAACGTTTACCATATGTTAAATCTAATTCAGTTTCTTCAATACTAAAACCCATTTCACCAGGTCGTTTTGTATTTACTTTAAGATAAATAGCTTCATTTGGTTGAACACGTATAACAAGTTCATCACGAGCTAATATATCATTTGAGTCATTTGGAGAAATATCTTTATCAAACATTCTACCGGGTGCATCATGAAACTGAATACGTACTTCAGCTTTTTTTTGATTTAATGCTTTACCTTTATAAATAGAAAATAAACATCGAAATAAATTTAAATCATTTCATATTATGAAAAAAAAAGAAAACCTGCACGAAGAATAAACGGTACACCAGCCCAACGTTCACTATTAATCGAGAGAACAACTTGTGCATATGTAGGTGTTGTCGAATCTTTTGGTACGCCTTCATCATCTAAATAACCTTGTTGATGTTCAACATCTGTTGAATCTTTATTACCAACATATTGTCCAATGACAACATCTTCAATTTTTATTGGCGCTACAGAGCGTAATAGTTTTACTTTTTCATCACGAACATCTTCACCTTTGGTAGATCGTGGTTTCTCCATGGCAATAATTGATAAAATTTGCATTAAGTGATTTTGTATAACATCTCTTTTCATAAAAAAAAAACAAATTCTATGTAAATTTTTAGATAGGAAATTCTTAAAAACTTATATTTCACAATACCTATAGAAGTATTGTCAATGCATGAGTTTATCAATAAATGTATGTTGAATAAAAGACTATGTTTTCGAATGTCAATCTGCAACTTTACTCATATAAAGACGTTCATAGAAAGTTTCACAATATTTGGGATTACGTCTCGCTGGGATATGAACCTTTCGAAACGTACATACTGTACATACTGTACATACTGTACATACTGTACATACTGT